TGGTCAGTTCCATCCTGGATTTTAGGTTGGTGCTGAAATGGACACCCACGACTCCAGCCTGGACCTCAGGAATGCTTCTTCAGTTGAGCTGTGTCCTCCAAAGTTGTGCCAGGCTGTCACCTCAGAAAATCGGGTGTGTGGTCAGAGGCCCTAGTACCCAAAGCCCAGTCTTGCTTGACGCTTCTCTGCCCTTCTTTCTGCTTCTAGTGACGTTCACACTTGTATGAATACGTTCTGTGGGGGGTCTTATCCCTTCTACATTCAGCTTCAGCCCCATCATCCAAAGATCATGCCAAGGTCGGCTTCACCCCTGGAATTCTTTCTGTCACTGAATACCACTGCCAGCTCCCAGTCAGCCAAACATAAACCCAGAGAACTCCTCAGAACCCCTCCTCCCCTCACTCTCAGTGTCCACTGGGTGCTTATCTCCTTACCATCTCCTCCTCTCCCTTCCCTTTGACACCAACTTCAGAGCCTCATGGCTTCTCACCTTCATCCTGTGATCCCTTCCTCATTGGCCACACTCCTCCAGTTCACCACTACGCCACGTTACAGGACTTCTCAGTTCTCTTCTGGCCTCTCCGCTGCCTTGAATCCTCCAGTGGCTGCCACCAGCTTGCCGAAGGTTCACACTGCTCAGGTTAGCACACAAGGCTTTTGTGATGTCGCTCTGGCCACATCTCCCACCACTGCCCATTCCCACCTTTCACTCCAGACAGGTGGAACCACCTGCAGCTCCCAACAAGCACTGTGAACACATCGTGCCTTGCACGTGCCATCCTTCACAATGTAGGACAACCATCACCTCTTCCAGGAAGCCTGCCCCAGTGCCTTAAGTACCCTGCACATACGCCTTTGTGGTAGCTCCTGTCACCCTATATCATAAATGCTTGTTGACATCTTTAAGTCTTCCACTTACCATGACTTTCTGGAGGTTAGGAATCATATCCTAGTCATACCCAAACCCCAACATCTAGCTTCATGTCTGACCCACAGAAGGGAAATGAAAGAATGGTGGAATTGACTTCTGGGATGCAATTCCTAGATGAGTTCCATCTCCAGATGACCTCAAAATGAACGAAAACATGTCCAGTTTGTTCTGAATGCTCATGTCTCCTTTATTTGTTTCCCTTCTTCTTCTTTTCCGAGGTGCCTTCCGCATGGCGTTTGGACCTCACCACCACATCTCATGGAGCCCACAGGGCGGAATGGTTGGGAGGGCAGTCCTGTGCTGAGTAGGGTCCTGGATTCCTTCCCCTTCAGGGTCCTCTGGGTTCAGAGAGTCTCTCAGTCTGTCCTTGAGTGGAACATGGTCAGGGCCTGCTGAGGCCTAAAGGAGGAGAGAGACCCATTATCCTTAGGAGAAAATACAGGAGAAAGCCCCCGGCCTGGACATGGGAATGCCAGGATCTGTCCTGGAGACAATGTGTGAAATCGATTTTTCAGTTTCCTAGAAATACATGACTATCTAAAGAGGCCTCACGCTTCTTAAAGAAAAGGCTTATATACATGGGACACGTCATTTTACTTCCTCAGCTGTACATATTTGTGGGTGTTCCTGGGTGTCTGTTATGTTATTCTTCATACCTTTTTACATATTTTAAATATTTCTTAATAATTAGAAAACAAAAAATTTGCTCCATAAGCATGAGAACGACTTAACTAAAAAAACATGTCAAAGAGGAAGGAGATATTAAAATGGCTTTTTTTTTTTGCATAATCTATAGAAAGCCCAGAGGTGTGAGGCTTTCTTTGCATAATGAAATAGAAGAACTGTAGTACCAGCGAGGTTTGTTGATTGCCATGGCAGCAGTTAAAGGTACATGGGTGACAAAGCAGAGGGGTGCTGGCGGGCAGGGTTGTGATGTTGGAACCACTGTGTTAGAGAAAAGACAGACAGATCCCTCTGGTTCGGCCCCTGAGCTTGTGGGGGACAGCACCCAGGCTCAGGGAGCTGTCTTAGCAGAGTCATTTATTTATTCACACAGTCATCTCCTGCAGGCCAAGTGCTGTGCTGCGTGTTGGGGAAACCAGCACAGAAAAGCCAGTGGTTCTCACCCTCTGGAAATCCATAAACTGGTGGTGAGACAGCCGTATGAGCAAATCATGGTAGGGCAGTGCAATAAATGCTAGTTCCATGCTAGTTCATGGACTGACAAAGCAGGGAGCCAGGGGGGGCTCTAGAGAGACGTTTGAGCAGGGTCTTGAGGAGTAGGTTAAGACCTAGCCAGGTCCTGTGGCCAGTGTTGGGTATCCATTGGTGAGCCAAAAAGGCATGGTCCCTCCCTGACCTCATGGAGCTTACAGTCTAGGTGGGAGGACAACCATCAATCAAACGCTCACACACTGTAAATAAAATTGTAATATGTACTATGAAGGTTATTTGTAAAGAAGGACATATGAGCTAGATCTTAAGCCAGATGTTCAGAAAAAGTGGCAAGC